TTTATATACGTAATGTATTATATATGATAAAAATTTTAAAGTAAAAAGATTAAAAAAAATTTTAAAATTTTTTATTATTTTACTTTAAAAAATTTCTTTTTAATCTCTTTATTTTAAAATTTTCGTTTTATAATATGTTACATATGTAATGTATTATATATGATAAAAATTTTAAAGTAAAAAGATTTAAAAAATTTTTAAAATTTTTTATTATTTTACTTTAAAAAATTTCTTTTTAATCTCTTTATTTTAAAATTTTCGTTTTATAATATGTTACATATGTAAAAAAAATAAAATGACTAAAAATAGTTAGATAGAAAACTCTAAAGGTTTAAAAAATGTTCTTAAGTAAATAAATTAAAAAAAAATTATTAAAATAAAAGAAACAAAATAGATTTTAACCACCCAACAATAGCCCACGTTGGACCCAATAGGCTGAAGACTTCCTAACAACTTATTCTTTTCAATTTTTGGGCCAATAGCCTAAATGTCGTGTAGTTCAGGGATCAATATTAATGTTCATATTAGGGCGGAGCATCGGATACGGGTATATCTGATATCTGTGGATATCTGTGGATACCTGACTTATTTAGGTAAGTATTTTACTTGTATCTGTAAAGAAACAAGTAAGTATCAAGTATAAAAAATGAATATCTACTAAGTATCAAGTAAGTATTAGATATAAAGATCAATACCTGCATACTTGACTCAAATACCTGACCTATATATCTAACTTATATACCTGACTTATATTTTAGTTTTATATGCTTAATTTGTAATATAATATTATGCAATCAAAATGTTTATTTTTTTTTTCTTTACTTCTAGCAATGAAAATTCAATTGAAGGAAAATCACATGAATTTTTGTTTATATTTCTTTGATTATTGTATATATACTTGTATATATGTGAGTATATATACTCATGTATTTTGTTTTATATATAAACTTGTATTATATATATAAACTTGTAGCTGTATATTAATTTATGAATTTTCAGTAGAAAATTTAATAAGTATATAAGTATACCTGTAAGTACACCTATATCCAGAAAGTTGAGTAACAGATATAAATTTTCAATACCCAAATAAATACTGGATATCAAAATCTTGTACATATCACTGTTCAAATCAAGTACAAATATGGACCAATGCCTGACCCATACCTACCATGCTCACCCCTAATTCATATATTGTATGTTTGGGTCTAACAATCTCAAAGACAACAAGTTCAAGGGGCCTAAGCGGCGTCTAGCAGACGTACATGTGTTCAGTGAAGTAACTGCAAGAGTGGCACGGCATTACTTCATTTCTCATCAATCTATCAAGATTTGAGTTAACCTTTGGACTGGTTCGTGAAAGCAAACTAACTGAATTTTTCTTTTTTAAATATATTTGGTACTTGCAAGTTGCAACTCAAATTTATAATAAGACACTAGAAGAAACTCTATATATATACAATACTAATTTTTTGTGTAATTTGCGTATATTCTTAATCTTGAATCTTGTTGTCTAAGGAAATTTATGTGATGAGCGAGATTGATCTGTTTTAGTCTGTCTTGAGTTTATAAGTAATCTTTTTAAATATTGGAGTAGAAACAAATTAAAATTAAAATAATCAAAAGGAGTCTTGTTTTTTTTTAGGAAATAAACAATAACAGGTGTTTTAATTTTAAACATTTCGAAATGATTCATTCATATAATACAAAAAGAAATTCTTTAGTGAGAAACGAGAGATTTACCTTCGCGATTTTGCTACCAAATTCTTGCTGGTTGAGGAGGAACGGAGTCAGGACCAAGTAGGATTGCACCAGCGCCAGAGCTTTTGGTACTTGATGCTCCGTCAACATATAGAATCCAGCTGTCTAGCTTGGACTGGGAACCAGAGTGAGCCAAGGTGCATTCTACTATGAAATCTGCAAGAGCCTATGCTCGGATTGCTGACCTCTGCTGGAATGTTATCTCAAATTCTCCCAATTCGACTACCCATTTGATTAATCTTCCTGAGCATTCTGGCTTCTGTAAGATTTGTCTGAGGGGCTGGTCCGTGAGGACTATGATTGGATGTGATTGGAAATATGGTCTCAGTTTCCTGGCCAAAGTGACAACTGCTAAGGCTGCTTTCTCAGCAATAGAATATCTGATTTCAGCTCTATGTAACACACTGCTAGTGTAATAAACTGGCTTCTGTTGCTTCCCCTCTTCTCTTACTAGCACAGAACTGATGGCTTCACCTGATATGCCGAGGTACAAGTAAAGGATTTCTCTGTCATCAGCCTTTGTCAGTAGAAGGGATGAGTTAAGATAAGACTTCAGCTCGTCAAATGCAGCTTGGCATTCTGAATGCCATTCGAATTTCTTCTGTTTGCCAGATTCATCCTTCTAGGCTGCCAATCTCATGATCTTGAAAAACGGCAGGCATTTATCTCAAAGAAGTCAATCCCGTACCATACCGGCCGGTACGACCGGTACGTACCGGTTTTGACACTTGACCGAAACGGTACAATGTTAAATTTCGTTTCGGTCAAAATCCGATCGTTTCGGTCAAAATCCGGTGTACCGGCCGAAATTTTGTGTACCGGCCGGTACATCCGAATTTGACCGGTACATTA